TCGGAATAAGAAGACGGGAAGAGTAGTTGCCACTCACGGCCGACATGTCTCGATCGTCGAACGAGCGTCGGCGTCTTCCGCAGCTGCTGCTCGTTATCCGCTCGCTGTGTTCGCTCTTGCGCTCTTGGCCTCTGTCGTCACCCATCTCCCTGGGGTCGAAGGGCCCCTCCTCTTCTATTTAGGGACGGGGTACGTCTCACGCCAGACGATGGCTTCCCTCCCCTAACCATCTCTCTCTGCGCTTCTCACTGCCACTTGCTTTGTTATTGTAGCTATGTGACGGTGGCCGAGGTGAAGGGCGTGGAGCTGTTCTACTACTTTGTAAAGTCGGAGGGGAACCCGGAGGAGGACCCCCTCATACTCTGACTTCCTGGTGGTCCGGGGTGCTCCGGATTCAACAGTTTGGCCTTCCAAATTGGTAGTTTTTTTACCTTCACTGACCAATTCTTATGATTCTCTTTCAACACTCAGATACCGATTTCTGCTTATACTGCACAATCACACTGTCTGTAGTTCCATGGCAGCTAAAATCCGTTGCTTTGATTCCCTAAAAAATGTTGATGAGATTGCAATGGATTCGATCTACAACTGAAATAATAAACCTGTTCTGAAAGGGAAATTACCGAACTGGATCATACATGTAATGCAGATAAAGGGTGAATTCGCTTTTGCTTTTTGACAAGGGGAAAGTTAATCTAATCTACATGGTTGAGGCCGCTGAGAGAATAGAGTCAAGGCCAAGTACTCGCTGGTCTCGATCTAGATAACGATGCGGCAGCCACAGTACCTAGTGGATTTCAGTGAAATGATCTACCTTGTCATATCTGGTTTGCATATATAGATCCAAGTGGTAATGGCCAAACTTTTGCCAGCTCTTAGTTTGATCTATGTTGTGGTCTAATCATGAGAAATAAAAGAGATGGAGGAACAAAGAAGGTTGTATTTTTGTGTGGTGATATTTTTGACACTTGTAGGATTGGCTTATCAGGGTCTCTTGCAGTGGCTTGTCTTGGTTTCTTAGTGTCTTAGGTGTAGGAATAGGTTGGGTCAAGTTTGGACTGAGATTAGAAAGTAAGGGTACATAATCAGACAGAAATTTCATACTCAATCACCTGTACTGATGCACTGCTTCATTTTCTTAACCCAAGTTAGTTATCAGATTGGTTTTCCAAATCAAATATCTATATTATTGTCTTTCCTTAGCTATCTCTGAAGTTGTTAGATATATTAAATGGATACTCTTCATGTTGGTTTTGTAGGTCATGTAAGATTTGCTGCTAACTACAAATATAATGAAAGTTTGTCTACATTAATGTATCATCAATATTCCTGGACAAAAGTAATATGTTTCTGTTTCAGCTCCTTCCATTTTTTTTTGTTTCATACATTTTTTTAATGTTTTCTAACAAGTAATGGCTTGCAGTTTTCCAGTGTAATTTTTGTAGATATTCCAGTTGGAACTGGCTTCTCGTTTGCCAAGGACTCTGCATCTGCTGATGAGGTGGGGGACATGTCTTCTTCATTACAAGTCTATGATTTTCTCACAAAGGTAGGATACTTTCAGACAAATGTTGAGCAGAGTTATAATAAATGCAGATAATATAATGCTTATCTTTCCATTGTAGCTGTTCTATCTCTCTCTCTCTCTCTCTCTCTCTTTTTTTTCTTTTGCAGTGGTTGATTGACCATCCACAGACCACTGTTCCTCTCCTGTCCTCTCTACATTGCTGGTAATTCATATGCTGGGAAGACTGTTCCACTTGTTGCTCATCTAATATCCAAAGGTAACTCCAAATCTAAGTCTGGCTCTTATGATCACTATATTTTACTGCAAGAATAAGTTGGATGCCACCCTTAGAAACGTCAATGTAAAAAGCATGCAACTTAATTAGACATGCTTTAGAAAAATAGAACACTGCAACCAAAACATAACTGATAATATGATTTGTTGGCCCAAATTTTATAGTTTCTCCATCAGAGTTTGGATAACTAGCCTCTACTGCATTAGCTATGCACTGATACTGTATACAATGTTGTGTGTACATATATTTATGCAGATGAAAAAGCATGCCTGTGCAGACAAATAAGTTTCTAAGTTAAATAAAGTGTTAAAATGTTCAACTTTATTTGTGCAAAAATGATGATGGCTTACTTTGTGTTGATCAGGAATTAATGCTGGGAAACAGCCACTACTTAATCTCAAGGTATATATATGACATGCCCATTACCAGGTCGTTTCTCTTGAATTGTTCATCACAATGACAGATTAGTAGAGCAGTTCTTGAAAACAGTGTCATTAGTATATTTATTATCCAATTCATGTGAACACTGAAAACAGTATATGACAGATTACTTGATAACAGTGTAATAATTATAGGAAGTATATTTACTATCCAATTCAATGAATATTTTTATGATGCACATCGGTATGCCTCAATTAGATTATTGCTAAATTCTCTAACTGGCAATATGTTCAAGGAATATGCCTCAATTAAATAACAATATGCTGAAACAAAAAAAAGTCTTTGATACTCCAATGAACACTAAACTCTTTTCCATGAATCAATGAAAGAATAGTTTATACATGATATGCATAGTTATCAAAATAAAGTTGATTCTTTTTCTTGCTTCTAATAACAGCTTTTGTTGTTCCTTTTAGGGTTACCCTGTTGGCAACCCATTCA